TAATACAAAACATTTCTTTCAAATCATTTCCTTCTATAATATAACCGGTACTGGTGATAAAAGATAAAAGCAAATGAAATCCTCCCAACCGTATTACAATATTAACGTTTGCAATGTTAGAATTGTTCAATGATCACATTATTATTTCTTGAGCTTTCTAATATAAAGACTGATCAAACGTTATAAAATAATATTTTTGATAAGCTTTGCAACATTTTTTGTACGAAACATGATCAAACATCAAACTAAATTACCACATTACCGATAGACAAACCACAACAGTACCAATTTTGGTTACAATTAATGAGACCTTAACAAATGTGCCTTCTTTCAACGGCATGAACTTACCACAGTTCTTATGCGCGTTCATTAAAATTTCTATTAAATAAAATTAAAATTTGTACGAATTGATCCTCCAAATTTTATTGCCTTCAAGCCATCAGTAACTGTTCTAAACCTGCAGAAAATCCTCAACAAAAGAATTCGCTTCATTGCTGTATGCTGCATATTTCCATGAAGAAATCCCCGTTAAATTCATAATTAAAAAAATCAAAATTTTTAAATTTTATGAAAGAAACATATATCGATATCTCTAATTCTTAATAATTATAATTTAAATATTCATATACCTATATCACGTAGACCACATCCATTCACGGATAGTAATAAACTAGCTAGAAAAAGATGGTTCAATAAATAGATAAGGACAGCGCATCACACTTACTGTGCCTAGACGAAACGATAGATAGAGTACAGAGTAGAGAGATGAAAAAGAAAGATAGCATTCCGTGCCGAATTCAAATAGAATTGATACTGTTTGATTAAGAATGTTCGTGGCTAAAAGGGAGTAGAGGGAGGAAGAAATGTCGGAGTTGTCCTACGGATTTTGTAGAGTATAGAGGCATAATTCCACTCACAAAATTTTGTAATTGTACTGCTTTACAAATTTTCTCATTTTTTAATGAACATAGCTGTGTGCATGTGTGCGATAACTTTATAGATTGCTTCTGTTCACCATGCCTATAATTTCTGCTTAATTGTAATCGAGATTATACAAGTAGCTTGATTACCGTTACTTTATTACTTATGCTTGACCTGGCACAAGGAATTGTTTTGGACGGTTCCAGCGTTTTACGTGAGTACTGCACGAATTGCTAATAACCAGCTTTGTTCACTTATTCAATTAATAAACTCATTGATTTCGTGAAAGTATGAGGTGCCGGCATATAATTCATTTATTTTGTACTCTTCCTCTTTTCATATTTAATTTAATAGGACAATGCGGAGTATGATGTAGCGTAGCTGCGAAACTTCAAATTGCCTTATTTGTTTAATTAATTTTAAATAGTTTGTAAAGAGAGCCTGCACACTCAGACAGACACGTACATAAAACACAATTTTGATTTTGTAAATTATTACACATTACATTTAAACATTCGCTTTTATTTAATAAAACGGCTCAAATTTTCTTTGAACTATTCCTTTGAAATTTATACAATAACCTTACCTAATCCCTGTTTAAAATTGAATTAGAATTTCCTTATGTCCAGCATCATTTTGAGCAAGGTGACTGTAATTACAACATTCGGATCCGACTACATGCTATCGTGATAATCCAAGATCCAGAATAAGATAGCTAAGGTTAGCTGAACTTTTGATCTCGGACACACAAATATCAATCCAATTTATCCTATGCAATATTATCAACTGTAGATTTAGTTGGCTCATTTTCTTTTGGAGTGGCACTCCTCCGATTCAATTTGTTAAAAAACAAAAATTTAACAGCACCTGACGTCCATAATTCGGCATCTCGTATCTAGGTCGGTACTTCGACTTTATATTAAAGATCTTGAATGACGAATTCTGGATCAAAATCAAAAACATCATCCAGGAAACATAAGTTCTCACTTGTCTCACATTCAATACCTGAATTCGTTTCAATGCTTTTTCTCAATATATTTTCAACATAATCGTGTAGCTGCTTCTCTGCATCGTTTAATATAGGTATGCTATATACAACCGCACTTATGTGGAATGTTTTCAGTAATTTTTGAATGACGTTGTGAATTTCAATTGCTATTCTAACACAATTTTGATATTCAAAAACGTAGATGTAAAGCAAAGTTCTATTACTAATATACTGAAGTATGCTGATCGAATATGATTATATATACTGCAAGTGAACAAAATATGTTTTGAAGTTGGCACCGCACAAACCGATATCAAATTAAGGTGCGATAACATTTTCGTAATAACATAATAATCGAATTTCCTCAGGGATAGTAGTAATATTTGTTGAACACAATGGTTTAAAAATGAAATTCCCGTAGCTATTTTGAACATCAAAAATTTGCATGATTTCGTAGTTGCATTTGCTATTTCCTACCCATACATAAATATACGTAATTAATTAAACGTTATCTTCTACAAAAAATGTGCTTATGTAATTTTATTTGAAGATACTATAAATATTTCGAAATCGGGATTATAAATAACAGAGAACCGGGATTATAAATGACTAGAAAATTGGAAAAGGCAGGGAACCAGCTCGAGAGTTGATGAAATTGGGGTGTAGAGGTTACGGGTTACAGCGTGGCAGGGTAACCAGCTCGAGGATTGATGAAATTCGGGTGTAGGAGTTCGGGGATAGAGCGTTTAGGTAACCAGCTCGAGGATTAAGGAAATTATGATTAAGAGTTCGGGGTTACAGTGTGGCAGGATAACCAGATCGAGTGTTGATGAAATTGGGGTGCAGTAGTTACAGGTTACAGCGTGGCAGGGTTACCAGATCGAGGGTTGATGAAATTGGGGTGCAGAAGTTACGGGTTACAGCGTGGCAGGGTAACCAGCTCGAGGGTTGTTGAAATTGGGGTGTAGGAGTTACGTGTTACAGCGTGGCAGGGTAACCAACTCGAGGGTTGATGAAATTCGAGTGTAGGAGTTCGGAGTTAGAGCATGGCAGGGTGACCAACTCGAGGGTTGATGAAATTGGGGTGCAGGAGTTACGGGTTACAGCGTGGCAGGGTAACCAGCTCGAGGGTTGATGAAATTGGAGTGCAGGAGTTACGGATTACAGCGTGGTAGGGTAACCAACTCGAGGGTTGATGAAATTCGGGTGTAGGTGTTCGGAATTAGAGCGTGGCAGGGTAACCAGCTCGAGGATTAAGAAAATTGGGTTCAAAGTGGTAGGGGATCAGGGTAACAAAAGAATGCTCTGTTCACTCTCCAATGAAGGGGTAACAGTCCCTGGTGACGGATACTGTATAGTTTTGTGTTAGATTTTAGACGGAATTTTATAAACTTCATTTCTTCTGAAAAAATTTTGCAAGAAAATATTTGAAAACATAGCTTTTCTTTCAGGCGACTTAGGGGGTTGCAACCCCTGTAGACGAAATCCATATATTTAGCTGAAATTTTTTAAAAGAATTGTTTAGAGTATGTTTCATAGAAGACTGAGCATAAAATACGAAAATTTCGCTATAAAATGATGTGTAGGAGTACCTTTCGGGGGTAGCTTTCACCCTCTAAATAGTTTATTCGGCAGAACAAAACTATACATGTGTTTGGCGTTTTTGAGCGCCATAGAACATGAAATAACCAGCATAATCTGCGATTAACAACTGCTTATATTGTATTAATAACATTAAGGGGCAGTTCACCCTCGATATAATAGATAATAGGAAAACGCCGGAACACGTCAATATGGTTTTATCATTTTCTACTAGACTATCAGTTTTTTAATTTTTTTAACAAAATTTTTTGATTTTGTAAGGTAAAAATACACTTAAAAATACAGTTTTTCCTCTATACAATGTAGGGGTTGCAACCTTCGGGGACCAAATTGATGTGTGTCTGTTACTTTTTTTATAAGTATCTTGTGTTTTTTTGTTTCATAAAAAAATATTCATTATAACTAAAGATATTGTTGTAGAACTGCTTTTGGGACTGTTTTTTGGGGGTGGGTTTCATCCCTTAGATAGCTTTTTCCACCGATAAAAAAAATATGGGTGTTTTATTTTTTTACGAACTATAAAATATCTCAATTGCAGAAAAATCGGAGGCGGAGGGTTGGGGTGGTTCTACGGGGCATCCTGAACGAGGTTCATCTTTTGTTATTGTACGGCCGCGTTTAAATTCATTTACCCAGGTATAAACAGTCTTAAACACAGGGGCAGACTTGCCATGAACGGCTTTCAACTCAACTGTAATTTCTTTTGGTGTAAGGCCTTTCAAATGAAAATGTTTTATCACGGCTCGAAACTCTGTTTTTTCCATTTTTCAAATAAACCAATAACTTTTTGTTCAACCAACGCTCACAAAAAAACGACTTAATGAATCGAGCTGAAACTTTGTACGATATCTAGTTAGTAGTATTGCTTGCCAAAAACATCATAATTTAAGCGTGATGAACGCCATCTCGTGGATTTTGTAAAGACTTATTGACCCCCCTCGTATCATCACAGAGACTCACATATTTCCATTGAATGGTAGTCCTTGTCAATGATATATTCTTGCACTTTTTATAATTTCAAGTGAATAACATCTTAAAGATTAAAGAGCTCTCGGGAAATTTAACTTTCGAGAGTTACAGAGAAATAAAAAATGTCACCGTAAATATGACAGGTTAAGTTATGGATCAATAGTCGGCGAACACGATGATGAGTGAGAGAGAAGATATTTATGGAAGTGTCACAGTAACGAAAAAATATAAGCTAGATAAAGTAAATACTTCTAACAATTTATACGGTGGCAAATAAAGCATGAATTTTGGGAGTCTCTAAAGCTAATGAAAAATTTTTCTAATAAAATGCGGAATTTAGTTTGCCAGAGTATTTAACTTTTATTATAACGTTGTTGGAAGAATTATTTCATATTATTTCTTTTGTAAAGATGAAAACTCGGACACATTTATCTTTCTGTCAAATCACATTGTACTGCACATGAAAAGTTTAGACTATCCAAACTAAGAAAATTGCTAGTCGATTTGTCTCTTAACTTACCCCGCCACAGCTGCATATCCAGCTACTGGTTGAGAAGCTGCTGCTGCTCCATATGCACGCGCTGCTACAGCTGTATATGTAGCTGCAGCTGCATAAGTTGCTTGTTGAGCATTTGAAAGTGGTGTCTTTAATAGTGGTGAAGATGCTGCTGCGGCAGCTGCTGCTGCTGCCTAAAATTGATATATTACTGTCACAAAGATGATTTATTTAAAAAAAATTTTTTTTTGATATTATGAAGACGTTTTATGGTTCGAACGTAATAATTTGTTATTACTAAAAAAAATTTGTTTTCAAATCTTGAAGTGGAAAACTGTGGATTTGACGATCAATTCACCTATAGAATTACGGTATGTAAAAGATATTTGAATATGATTCTTGGAAAAATGTCTAAAAGATTTTCTACTATACCGCAATAATAATTCAAAAGAAAATAGTATATTATATATGAAGGACTTTTGGGGGTCTTTTGTAATTAATGGTGTATTTACAGTAGAATTTGAGATAAGTTAATACCGGCGGAAAGCAAGTCCATTTGTGAGCCGAAAATAAGTACTAAAAGACATAAGATTCAAAGAATCAGAAGCTTTCTTTACATCCTGTTTGTGCTACCGTCTCGATCGCGTGGCTGCCTGCGAGGGCAGCATTTACCGCCACAGGGAAGTAGAAAACGGGAACTCGATCTGAAATGGGAAGGAACGCGCGCGAAGAGAAAAGGACCAGTGGGAGAGAGCCTTTGATACCGGCAACGGCGTCGAGGAATACCGCAGACTTTATCAACAACATACAACGTGTAAGAGTCTAGGAGTGCCTCTAGTATCGGCAACGGCATGCGTGCGTGTGAACATCGCAAGAAGCGTGAACATTGAGCGGCCAATAGTTTTTGTTGTTGCTGTTATCGTGCCAGCCCAAGGAACACGCTATCGTAGGCCGGCGGCGAATTCAACGAGCTGATCCGACGAAAGCAGCAAGGCGATTAAAGAGGCCTCATCTTTAATTTGAAAAAGTGGTAACCTGAGCCACGTGCTAGAAGACGACGTTGAACTGCTCCCCTTGACGGCGCGACTAATCGCATAAGGTAAGCTGGCCAGCTTCGCGTTATGATTTCGATAAGCGACCGCGCGTAATATCTTAGCTCTCCCATCACATCTGCGAACACAAAGAAATTGGTAGCGAGCATGCAAACGAGTAACATGAACGAGCGACTGTAAACGAAATGGCAGCGCGTAAGATTGTCACGCACATCGAATAAGCGTAAATGCGCGGGCCAGATGCGTTGTAGATTACATAATAAATAAACTAGTCTGTGCATGATTGAAACATTAATTTACTGTTGTCTTTTGCTATCAGTAAATTAATCGACTGATACCTGTCCTTCCCCACTCTTCGGTTAGTAAACAAAAATTGATTATTTCGATTTCGTCGCGCGCATTCCGGTACAACTGCGCATCGGGCGAGACAAACAAATTAAAACGGAATTCACACCCCGTTATCGTCAATTAAACTTAAATATTTTAGTGGTATTTTAACATCGTACAGGTCATTGTTTTATCGAATTTCTAGATTATAATTATATATTTAGGAGAGGAAATTGTCTAAGGCTACTCTTTTCTCGTAAAATGAGTTAAGCTTTCAGACAATCATACAGGAAAGGTAAATAGCAAGGCTAACGACTGAATAATGCAACATACGAGTATCTAAAGAAATGACTGCAGTTGACCTGACCGCCTAACGCGCTGTTAGGCAAGATTCGATCAGAGTGTATCCCTTTACCGCAGCGATGAGTAAATTTATACTCATAGTACAGGCTCTTTTTTACAGTGGATTGCTACACTTTCAACGCTGTTTTCGTATATTTGTACAAAATTTGAACAAGCTTTAACGCGAAATCGCGTACTCGACATGAAAAGTTTGTGTTTTAAAAAAACAAACTTAAGACATAGAATTTTACAATGTCAATTTCTTAATAGAATAAAATCTTTGTTTGAAATTATAAATAAAGTCAAATAAATAAGAGAAAATTTACAATGAAATTATATTAGTTTTTATACTCAAAAATACCCTAAGCATATTCAAGATAAAGTTTATCAATTTAACAAATAGAAATTTAATATAATTAATTTTTGAATTTGCACATTTGCTCTTTTACAAATATAAAATCAACGTACGGATAATAACACAGGTTAGAATGGTTTTGTTATAAACTAGGTAATAGCCATTTCAAAGTAATTTTCAGCGTAACGCTCAAATCCAGGCTCAGAATTATTCCATCAGCTCAGGTTTATGAATAATCCTAACCTAAAAGTGCAGAAAATACGGTTATTCGCCATATTTGATCATCCATAACTTCGCCATTTTTCATTATTTTAAAAATCTGAAATAACTATCAGAAAGGGCTACTCTCCAGCTTTCCATATCACTATTTATATGTATGATTATCATTTTTGAAACTGGAGATATCATCGATTCAAAAAAACTAAATTACAGGTTTCGTAATGACCTATAGATGGGGTTTGAAACAGCAACCCTAGCAGAGCCTAAACTGTCATGGATTTGATGTTATTGTCTTTTAAAGTTACAACTTATTTCTGGTTACAATAGCAGAGCCTTACATGTCGTGAGCTTGATGTTATTGTGTTTGAGGTTATAGCTTATTAAGGTTTTATAAACTAAACGCTTCCAGCTGTTTAAGATTTTCTGTTAATATCTAATCCTCGTTCTAAAAGATTCATCAAAAGAATTTATATGACCTGTCATTTTTACGTTCATATATCGGTCATTGCGAAATCTGTAATTTAGTTCTTTTTAATCGACGATATCTCCAGTTTAAAAAATGACAATCACATATACGAGGTCTGTCCGGAAAGTATCGCGCCTACGTTTACAAGGTCTGTCTGGAAAGTATCGGGCCTACCTTTATATTTTCATGCTAGCGTTGTTCATTATCATCTGGTGGGTGGCATCCTTCAAAGTAATCCCCACTTAATTAAATAACACGGTTTCATCGATGTTTCCACTTTTCATAACAGTCCTGGAACTTACTTTTAGGGATAGCCTTAAGTACACTCGTCGCATTGTTTTCAACCGTTGTTTTGTCATCGGATCGATGTCCTTTGAGTGGTTTTTTTAGATTTGGAAACAGCCAAAAGTCACAAAGGGCTATGTCGGGACTGTATGGAAGTTGTCGAAGCAATGTGATATTGTGTTTGCTCAAAAACTGCTGCACAAGATTGGATGAATGCGCTGGCGCATTATCGTGTTGCAGAAGCCAGTCACCACTTTCCCAAAAGTGCGGCCGTTTTCTTCTTACTGCATCACGCAAACGTTTCAAAATTTGAACGTAGTATTCTTTATTGATTATCTGAGCTGTTAGTGCATATTCATGATGTACAACACCTTCACAATCGAAAAAAACAATCAACATTGACTTAACATTGCTCGGACTTTGACGTGCTATTTTGGTCTTGGCGATTCAGAATGCTTCCGCTGTGAAGATTGTTGTTTTGTTTCGGGATCATAACCATAAACCCATGATTCATCACCTGTAATAACTTTTCTAAGCACATTATCATCATTATTGACTATTTCCAGATTGTCCAGAGCGATTTCTAAGCGAATGTTCTTCTGCTCTGCTGTGAGCAATTTTGGGATGAATTTCGCACACACGCGTTTCATTCCTAAATTTTCGGTTAAAATTTCTGAAATGATAGTTTTTGGTATCCCAAGGTCTTCTTCTAGTTCTCGCACACTCATACGACGATCTTGTTCGATTGCAAGTCGCACCCGCTCAATATTATCTGCGGTTTTTGTCGTCGAAGGTCACCCCACGGTTCGCTGGAAGTGCCTTTGAATCGAAGGTGAAGAGCACATCCAATTTTATTGCATAAATAGATTCTACGGTACTTACTGAGTAACTCTCTGCAAAAATTAAAATAATCCCCAGGGGCGTTTTTATTTTTTTTTAGTTTTATGCTTAGAAAATCAAATATTAAGACGTACAAAAAAATTTGACGGAACGGGGCCGGTAAATTTATTTAACAAAATAATATTGACTTACTAGCGACATCTCGTAAAAGTATAGAAACATATACAATGATAATATGACAGTTTTCATAGCTTTTAAAACTGACTTTGCGAGTTTATACAATGTGTATACGTAACCAATACATCGAAATGCTAGGAGTCTAGGTCTGTTTACAAATATATAAAGTGAACGAAAAATGTATTCAGTATCTAATTGTATGTTGAAGACGCTACATGAATCAAGTTTGAGTCGCAAGTATTTAATATTTTCGCGAATGTAATTGTTTAAAATAAAATTCCATTTATTTACACGATGTCTAGAAAGACTAAAGACCACATACTGACTCACTCTGAAAATCGAGAAAGGATTTGTTTATTGTGTCTAAAGAAAAAGTCTGATTTACAAATAATTTCTGGAAAACTACTATTAAAAATTTGTGATACATTTGATAGCTATGACAGTGTAGATATTCCACTTCCAAATGTTATTTGTACCAATTGTCGAATTCGTGTTTATCGTCAAAAGGAAAGTGGACAATCAAATATAAAATTACAGTTACCTGACTATTCAAAGTGGACTCTACCAAAACAAATCACTAGATTTAGTGCAGAAAAGAAATGTGTATGTACTTTGTGTGAAAAAGTAAGGAACCTTGGTCAGTATAACTTTTCCAAACCTGGAAACGGTCGTCAAAAAAGAAAAAAATGTGCAGCCAATGTTTGTGCTAAATGTTTGAATAAGCTGTCAAAAGGTCATACTCATAAATGTAATGCGTCAAGTAGTTATAATAATCTAAAAGACTATGCCTGTGATAACTTAACATTAAGACAGAAAGAACAGTTAACAAGTTCATTGTTGAAAAATATATCTTCAAATAAAAATGAATCTAATAGTGAAGTGAATTTATCTCAGAAGCATGGGCCACCTGTCACAGTTGCTATTATTAATAGTATTACTAAGAAAAGTAAACACACTGAACAGATATCTGTCGAAGATATGGCTAGTATAGCAACAGAGAATAATTTGTCAACACGGAAAACTCTAAAAATAGCTTCAAGGATTCGAAGTGCAGCAAAGAATAGAAATATTATTGAACCAAATTTGATAGAAAAATTGAAGTACAACAACCATAGACTCGATAATTTATTT